CCTCCCTCCCTCCCTCCCTCCTTCTTTCTCTCCTTTTCTTGTAAAATTTTTTTCTGCCTCCCCCCATCAGGAATAGCAACTTTTCATTTCCCAGCATTCCAGTTTCTCTTTCTAGGATTCTGCAGCTTCTGGAGGCCGGGAAATTATTCAGCAAGTTTGCCATGATTGTGCGTTAGGTACAAGTCAGTATTCCGAGGGTCAGCTAGAATAGTTGTGGTTAGTGTGAGATGCATAAATTTAAAAAAAATATATCTTTGTGCTCGACTGTGTACGTATGTTGGGGGTATGTGATTTCCTGCTGGAAATGTTTGTGTTCTGGCAGCTGAAATGTCTCTCTGGCCTATTTCGTCGAACTTGTCTCCTCTATGCCTAAAATTCAGTATTTTAAATTTATTTCTAATCCAGAGAGATACTCATTGTTTTGCTTTTCCTACAGAAATGAAAGTTACAAAAATAACACATTAAACTCCCTTCAACGTCTTTTCATAAAGCTAACATCTGTTTCATTACCATTTATATTTGTCTTGTGTTCATAAAAATAAATTTCCAGAAATGTCAGTTTTTCTTAACACACAAGTTTTCCTCTTAGTGACCCATTGTTCGCAGAGTTCATGATGGTTAGGAAGGACTTGAAGACACTTCTACAACCCAGTATGTTTCCACATTCCATAATTACTAAACCACCAAGGAGAAAAGAATGATGTGGGCATTTCTAGACTTCTATGTGAGAATAAAATAAATTAACACTTGTAAAGCACTCAGAACCACACCTGGCACACAGGGCACACAGGAACCTCCACGTGCCTCACAAGTACATTGAATTTCCTGGCACAGACTCACCAAGGGGCTTTGAACACACACAGGGCACTCCTGCCTGAGCCCATCCTAGACTGCCATGTATTTTACGTGACTGAACTACAGGATACTGCCATTTTCGTTGGTCAGCTTTGGGTGAATGCTGACCATTTCATAGGCTAGTACCACACAGGGACCAATAAACCCGGGTCCTGTCACGCCGCGTGGGGAGACAGCTGGCCTCGGGCCCACTGGTCCCTGTACGAAGGCCACCCGCGCGCGGGGGGTGGGAGACGGGCGGGGGTGGGCCCCGGGGGGCTGTGGGGGGCTCCGGGCTTCCGCACGCACCTGAAGACGGGCCCGAGTTGTAGCAGGTGCAGCAGCAGCACGAGCGGGCGGTCCCGGCTGAGGTCGCGGTGCACGAAGACGAGCGTGAGTTGCACTACAGCGCAGGGCATGAGCGAGAACAACAGCGTCAGCGCCTGCCACATGCGGTCCCCGCCCGACCTGTAGGTGCTGCTCAGGTAGAGCGCCGCCGTCGTCTCGGCCAGGAACAGGAACACGGACGCCAGCACGGAGCCCGGGAATTTCATCTCCGCGCGTCAGCGGCGCTCACAGGGACAGGCACGGAGGCAGCGGCCGGCGCGGAGGCTGGCAGAGGCCGGCGGAGGCCGGCGCGGGCTGGCGGTGGCCGCTGCTTGAGGGGCTCCCGGCATTCCCAGCTCCAACGGCTCCCGCGCTCTGCGCAGCCTGCGGAGGCCACGCGGGCCCGGCCCACCGGCCCGGGCTAAGGAGCTGGGGCCTGGGGGCGCCAAGCCGGCTGAGGGGGCGGGAGCGCGGGCCCTCAGGGACACGCCCACACGCGCCGTGCGCCGCCCGCGGCGTCACTGAAGCAACTCTCCCCTGCGGGCCGCGAACTCGCGTCGGAAGACGACTTGCGCGACGCCACGCAGCGCGGGAGCCCAAATCCAGCCGGTCCAGTCGCCGTCTCTGGGTCCTAGAGTCGGTCGGCTCATGCTTTCTCTGGAACCCATACACAGGCCTTTGAGAAACGGCAACCAGTAGGGCTCATAATTAGTGTATGGATGACACCTTTTCAGCCCATGCTTTATAGTACAAGCTGAGGAAAGCCTGGTTCTTCCAAGGCCACAGTTTGCTGTCGTTTAGAAATAGATCTCCGAGTGCAGTTGTCTGAAGTTTTCCTTCCAGTGATGAAAGAGCCAGGAGCCCATGCTTTCCCTATGAAAAAATTGCTTACAGAACGTATTCCATTATAACTGTGACGGACTCAGGTCAAAGACCAGGACCTAATAAGGAAGCAGTTTTCTAGCTCGAGGCATGCCTCTTCTTATTAGTGTGCCAAACCTAAGACTGACACAATTCCTTTGCACGTACTGAACTTTGAACCACTTTCTAGGCATCAAGATGGACTCACTCCAGCCCTAATCCTCAGACCTTGATCAATTCATTATACCTCTTTAAAACACGTGTTTTAACCTGTCCCTACAGAGATTATATTAAGATCCCTGTCTCTGCTGAAACTGTATGATTTTACTGTTCAGGCTCCTCAATGATTTTTCCATTTAGGAAAATAATGTGAAAAAATACAATATAAAGATTCAGAAGGGATCAAGGCAAAGATGTAGTGGGGTAGAAGATGATGGTTTGTTTTACTTGGTTGTTGTATGGCATAAGAAAATCTATTTATAAGACTTGCGAGGATTCAGCCAACAGCTGAGAGGTACCAGGCCCCTTTTCCAAAAGGATTACTAATGTCTATTTATAGAACCCAGCAGGCATAGTGTCCTGGATTGAGAAACACACATCATCACACACACAAAATCACCACAACAGCACTTCATAGATTATTTGTGTAAGATTTTATTTGACACTGTGGATAGCTTTGAAAGGAAAATTAATTAGTAGCTTAGATTATTAATAGAAAAACAGTAAATCGTTAGCATTAGATTTTTTAAAGCAAAGGATTATCACAGGTTTTACATTATTAAGTGGACCACGCTGTGGGGCAGAGAGGCAATAAGCCAATAAACAGCTTCACTTTAAACACTATACAACATAGTTTATGACGAACCATTTTCTACAGTACAAAACTAATACAGAAAACACATTAGAAAGATTACAATGTTTAGAACATTGTAAGAGCAGTTTTTAAAACAAGAATGTACATAATCTCTAAATTTCTGACTCAATCTTACTTTAGAGAGATTTCAGTATACCATGCAGTGGGCTGTGAGCTGAAGTAACATCAACTGAGTGTAGGACTTAGCCCTCTGGGACCCATCAATAACATTTGAACATTTGTAAATTGGACCTGCTAACTTCAGTGTTAAAGTCTTTCTGTATTATAATTTTCACCTTGAGAATAACATACATGTTACATTTTAGGATTGCTAGTTTCCCTGTCAAATATGTGAGTGAATTTTCACGGAAGATCAATTTAATGTCATATCTTGCATTTTGCTGTCTCACTAAACTGAAGTACTTATTACTTGTAAAATATTATGTACACAATAATAGACTTCTAGAGCATGTTCTTTTGGTATAAGAAATAACATACCAGAATAATTGAGAAATTAATTTTTATTATAAATTACAGTTGTGTGACATATTGGGATGTAGTTAAATACCTGGCAAAATGTTTTGCACTATAAGAAGGAATAATTACTACTGATATACCTTTGAGAATGAATCTTTCACTTTGAAACTGATATCAGAGTATATATTTGAAATATATCTCTGGGTCCTAGAGTTGCTGGGCTTGTGCGATATATCTTTGAAAGTGAATCAGAGTACCCTTAAGGAAATACACTAATTAGCAAGTGGTGAACTAACTTGTCTTTCATTTCATGTGCAAATCTTTCAAAACTTTTGTTATGTACAAAAGTTGATGTTGGATTTAATGTTAATGAGTAAGATTTATTTATTTATTTATTTATTTATTTATTTATTTATTTATTTATTTATTTATATTATCTAGTACAGGCTCTCAGTAGCAGCTCAGACTCGTAGTGATCTTTCTGTTTTCAGCCTCCCCAGGACTGGAATTACAGGCATGCACCACCATACCCAGACTCAGTCTCTGGATTAACCCTCCCACCACCAAGAGCAGGGCTGGCATCGCATGTGGTGCTGGGGATGGAATCCCAGTGACTGCACTTGCCTAAGCAGGCTGTTAGTCCTCTGAGCTATCTCGTTGGCCCTATGAATAAGATTTTAGAGTAGTATTAACTATTTTTAGCATGTGTTATATTTTAATAAGTTTACATTTTTAACTTCATTTATGCTGAGACAAATATATTACAAAGAGAACAATTTTATTAATAACATTAATTCATTGAGCAGTTCTTAAAAATTCAGAAGTAGTGGTACTTACTTTGGGTTACAACTAGAAATAAGGCATTATGCTATATTGACAGATTATTCCATAATCAATCAGGGATTACACTAATTTGTTGCTCAGGAATGTAGTACGAGGAAGATGAACATTTTTCTCCAATGACACAATTGTATTTCTGTAAGTATTGCAAATTGGGGGGTAAGCTTTTTGGTGAAGCAAATTCAATTCACTGGGAAATGCACATTACAATACTAAAACACAATGCCTAATTAGTCTCAAATTGTATATGGCTTTGCAAAGTGTTTCCCCTAGTAACTATAGTCTACAAAATCCAGCTTTAAAATGTTTCTTAATTTAGTTCAATTAAAACCAAAAGATTTAAAAATCAGTCTTCCCTTCTATGCTGATATCCCCTAGATATTCAAAGTTAGGAAAGCTCTTACCTTTTTAAAGAATGGCCTGTGCTTCCTTATCAGATTCTAAAGTCAAACTTTTACATTGACAGTATTATATTACTGCTCCTGGAGAGTCTACATAAAAATGCTACTCTGCATTTTCAAGAGCAAAATGATTCTATTGCTGCTACAGACTGCAGAAGACATTTCTAATATTTAAATGCTAGCGCCTAAAGATGAGCTACCACAGTTAACTTGAAACAAATTCAGCAGCAGAATTTATTTTATTGGTGATTTCCACTTAAGCATAGATAATAAAACAAAACTTAAGGGGACAACATCTGAGGCCCCACTGAAAACCATGTTGCAAAATGATTCTTTGTTATAAATTTATAGTATTCTCTCTAAACTCATTTCTATGTCACAACTACTTTGTACACAAGAATACGTACTGAAACAAGTAAAATATGCAAAGACTTGCAGAATTGTATTCTATACTATTGTTTCTATGTTTACACATGTACACGTTCAGATGTTTCCCCATCTTTTTAGAGTGTTCATCATTTCTAAGAAAATAAGAAAAAAGTGTGTATTTTGGTAATTTCTAAATGCCTACATTTATGTGTAACACTTTATAGCCTTCTGCTGGTTTTAACTTATAAAGGGATTATTCTACAACAAGAGCAATATCATTGTCTCCAGATGATTCTGAATATAAAGATAAATAGAGATGATCTCAAGAAAGAGTAGAGGAGAAGAAAACATGAAGTTTTTTTTTATGTGTAGACACTTCTGCAAATCTATAGAACTACTGTAGACCGGAGTTCAACAAGTCAACTTCAAATAGGGTTTTTTCTTTTACCTAGGAGACTTTGCTCAGCATCTGTAATGTTAACTTACCATGTAACCCCTAAAAGAAAGTAAAGGAATGGAATTTCTCTAACTTAATTCTAGAATCTCTTTTTGACAGTGGAATTATTTGACTGCTCTGCTGCAGTTGGGTAAAATGTCTAGTACTCAGATAGTATGCAGTGTTTTATTTCCATTTTCTTTTATAACGAAAAAATAATATAAGCAGCAAGGACATCTTATCAGTGCTAGGAACAGTGGGATGTCCATTCTGTATGGTCAGTGCAGCCACCAACCCACATCAGTTCTTGTCTACCTAAAAAGTAGCTAACCTAACTTGAGAAGAGTAGTAAATGCAAAATATTTACTGGGTTTTCAAGGATTAGTACAAAAAAATAAAATGCTACATTAATATTTCATATTGATGGCACATTAGACTTTAATATTTAAATATATTAGATATAGTGGGTTTAGCAAAATACAGCAATAGTAATTTCATTCTTTTCTTTCTAAGTGTAACTACTACAAAATTTTAAAATTATGTATGTAGCTTGTATTTATGGATCACATTATATTTCCATCCTACACTGCTGCTGTATTTGCGACACTCTTGGTCGTTATTTTCTACAGATAGCTGCTAATAGCTTTAACCTGGCAGAAGTTTTAATAAAAATTAATGCTCAACATATACAGCTTCAAGTATAACTTGGGTCCTCATTAATTATGTGATAATTGATAGAGAGCAGTTAGCACACAGTTAAGACCCATTCATTAATCAATTTATGCTTAAATATATCTGTTCACTCAGATAATTTCATAGCTAAATGCTGGATTTTATTTCATATGTGACACTCTCCTTAAACAATCTCCCAATTTAAAACAATTGTAGCTCACTACAAGCACTCATTTAATTTTCAGCAATCAAATAATTCAATATTTTGTAAATGGAAATGCTACTAAAACAGAATACTACAAATAGAATATTTTTGTCATCAAAAACGTTTTGTATAGGGGAAGGGTGCAGTAATAATAATTAAAGCCAGATGTTTTGTTCCAAACTTTGAAAGTAAAGTTAGGACTGTAATCCATGTATTATTCTAGGGGCAAGTGCCCAAGTATCAAGTAACTCTGGTGCGTATTCTTGGGACAAATGGAATGTCCATCCCCCTTTTTCCCCCTGATGCTTACACACAGAGACACATAGGAGGGAAGGGAGCAATTAAATCTTGTGTATCTTTCCTCTTCTTTATCTTCCTTTTTATTGTTC